GCTCATTGCCTTCTTGTTGCTCGTTGGTGTCACCTTGGTAATTTTATTGCTGATGCCACCATTGTTGTCGTAGTAGGTCTTGTTTTTTTATTATTGCATTAGTGACGTTCCTGACAATTCATGAATAAAGACAGTTCTATAGTACTACAAATTGTCGAAATGTTCTTACTCTAAATCTGGAATAATTGCATTAAAGTTTCTTTTTTTCATAGTCATTTGCGTCACGAAATTTTCCTTTCTCTAGTGTAAAGTGGTTCAATAATTTAATAACTGTCTTTGTAATTTTAATTATCAACCTAGGCCACGAATGTAACATATCAAGATAGGATAGCCGCATTTGGTCCACGTCTTACTGACGAAGGCCTTTTTGGTTATCTTGTATCAGTAGGAAAAATTGAGGGTGAGGATGACAATCAGAAAGGATGTAATAAGCTTAAAAAAAAATACGAAGACAATAATCAATGGATAGCTCTTATTGAGCGCGGTCAGTGTTCTTTTATCGATAAAGTACGAAACATGCAAGCATCTGGAGCTATTGCCGTCGTAGTTGGGGATAACGAACATAACGGTCTGATTACTATGTATGCCACTGGTGAGTCTATACGAATATGTATTTATCTTTTTTTTCTTTTTGATTTTTGTTTGTTTTCTCTTTTTGCTAAATTCGTTCTGCTGTAATTATTAAATATACGCACGCTTCTTATGCTTTAATCATTAATTTCTTTAATTTTTGTCAGGGGATACTTCCGATGTAAAAATCCCGTCAGTATTTGTTGCCCAAACTGAATATAGAGACCTTAAATCTCTCTCATTGATTGCTGAGAAGCCGGTGAAAATTCAACTACTTAAAGATGATCTATTACAGTGGTAGTATCGAATCCATATGTTGTGATTTAGTCTATACGAATTTAAATTAGTATCTAAATGTTAATATGCATTTTAGGCCTTTATTAGATGTTATTATTGTGGTGATTCTGTCACCAACGGTGATGATGATTTTTATATATGTTCTTTGGCGCATTCGCCAGCGTCAAAGACGCAAACAAGATATTACCCCTCAACAGGTTGTCGACAATCTTCCAACGAAAATCTTTTATCGCGCAAAGAGA